GGATGTGGGAGGATGGGGTCGGCGGGGTGCCCAGCTCAGAGGGGCTGGGCTCAGAGCTGGGGGTCAGGGATGTGGGAGGATGGGGTCGGCGGGGTGCCCAGCTCAGAGGGGCTGGGCTCAGAGCTGGGGGTCAGGGCTGTGGGAGGATGGGGTCGGGGGGGGTGTCCAGTTCAGAGGGGCTTACCATGCTGCTTACTCCTGCCTCCCCCATCTCCCGGAGCCTCAGTGCACCGCATCCAGGAGCACCGCTGGACAGCGCTGCAGTGGCGTGGCTCCATGGGACCTGGAGCCCCGCTCCCTTACGATGCAGCTCTGAGCGGGAGGAGCTCAGGCCACACTGCTGCAGTGCGGTCCAGGGCTGCTCCTGGACGCGGCGCGCTGAGGCGCTGGGGGAAGGCGGAGGGGCAGCCTCCGACATTCTCATGGGGGCCCCTGCGGGGCCTGGGGCAAATTACCCCATTTGCCCCCTCCTCTGGGAGGCCCTGATGCTTGTTATATGATACACTGTTCGCTTTTACCATGTCTATAACTGTCAGTACGTTAAAGCCGAGTACTTTAATGAGACTGTATTTAATGAACCACGAGAGTCGCATAAGGTTGTTCCGTTGTTTTGGGTGGCTGAGATGACTGATATTTGGAGTGCACGCATTTTCTTTAGCAATAGAAATACACAGTATATTTTTGTTGCATAATACCTTCAAGTGCAGGCTTCTTCGGCTGTTGTGATGCTAGGTTGGCTGTAGCTGGGGAATCTGCCCAAGAATCCCATCCGCTTAAAAGATCTGGGTGGCTTGCGGAGGAAGTCATTTTAGGTAGGTCTGGAGCCAAGTTTCCTAGAAAAAAATTGCAGAAAATTGTCAGTAACAAACCCACAGTGGTAACTGCACTTTTGGGCAAGAGAACTCAAGACGGCTATCTAGATTCCCAGCTGGGTCACTATTTGGCCTGTTTACATTCCCTATATTAGTACCAATTATTAAAATTATATAGTGTTGCTGCGTTCCTAGAAGGGTTCTGCCACTGGGGTACTTGAGATGTAGCTTTGATTTCTATTTTCAAACTTTGCTGAGCAGGCCAAAATAAAAGTACCTTCATTCACAGCCGCTGCTGTTAAATTAACACTTTAGCTCTTCCAGACTAAGGGATCATGCATGGGTCACTGCTTCAGGGTCCTCATCTGGTTGTTTTTTTTTTTTTTTAAACAATAGAGCAGGTGGCTCCAAACCCGCAGCACTTTAGGAATGGCGCTCCATGCCACTCAACAGCCCAGGAACTACCAAGCTGGACTGAGGGACACTTGCTCTCCTAAAATGGATTTACATGGGCTATGGGTAGTGCCAGTGGAGCTCCATGTGGGGCAAAGGTTTGTTCATGGGCTCAATACCATAATGACCACAGACAGCTGAAGAGCAGGGCACAGCAAGGTATCTTCTGCTCCATCTTGGGAAAATAATTTCAGGGACAAGTGAATCTTTTGCTCCAGGAAGAAAAGGTGGAGAGTGAACCTTCAGGCCCTTCCCTCCATACATGCAGCAAAAGAAGAGTCTGTCCTGATTTAAAATGCAGAATGATATGAGAACAAAGTTAAACTGAAAAGGGTTTGAGGGGACCGTCCCATTGACTGCCATTACTCGTGTCCCAGCTAGAATATTAACTTGGAGCTGCTTCCTTCTTCTCCACCTCAGCGATTTGTGCATTTCACTGATGGAATAAGCAACTCATATACATGATGCAAAATATCTGGTGTCCTTTCAGAGTCCGAAGTGCTAGATACATTGGCATTTATTAATAAATAACATTTAGTGCCTCATGTTAGCTTTGAGCGTTCCCTCCAACAGTTTGCTGAGAAACTAACATACAGGAATACACCTCTACCCCAATATAACGCTGTCCTTGGGAGTCAAAAAAAAATCTTACTGTGTTATAGGTGAAACCACGTTATATTGAACTTGCTTTGATCCGTCTGAGTGCGCAGCCCCCCCCCCGCCCCGGAGCACTGCTTTACTGCGTTATATCCGAATTCATGTTATATCGGGGTAGAGGTGTAATACACAATTTTGCAACGCATTTGTGCTCTCTCTTTTCTTGACTGCTAGGGCAATGGGTGACCAGAAATACAGACTGCAACTGAAAAGTTCTTTGGTGAAGCTGGCATATAGTTTAGCATCAACCCAGGACAGCTACCAGAACAAGGCACTGTAACCCAATCACCACGACTCAGGAAAACATTATGATTTTTCCAATTCTCTCAGTCTTCCAACTCCAAAGAGCCTCACTTTTTGGAGGCTGAGAAAAGACAGCACCATCACCCAGTGTGTGTGGAATACTCTGAAAATCTGGTTTAACAGAATATAATCTGAAGCTCCGTATTTGCTAAGTCTTCTTTTTCTAGCCCCTTATGTTCAAATTGTTTAATTTAAAAAATTAAGTCCGTGGCACTTATGGTTGCAAAGAAATCCTTTAAAATAGGAATTATGTGTGACTGACTTGTTCATCTAAATAGACTGTTAACTCTGGATCCTAATGAGGACACCTTAAAATGTCAGCACTGAAGTATCATACCATACATTCAATCTTAGCTACCTCTCCACTGATCATTTTAGCAGATTCCTCAAGCCAAAGTACTTCTCTGTTGCTGCATGTAACAGAAGACATCGGGATAGAGGACAGCTAGTTTCTGATAAAGATTACAAGAGGCAAGTGAGCTAGGGTATAATATAGCTCGTAAGTGAATAGCCATCCTCTCTCTGAAGACATTGAAACTACTTGTTCAAACTAGTCCCTCCAACAGGTTATTCCAAGTTGCAAATAATAGCAGGAGACACTCAAGCCTACACTTGTTTAACTTCTAATTATGATCAACTATTATAGCTCTTTCCTACAATCTAATGAGGTCTGGTGATTATTTACTGCCCATGAAACTTACTCATTCCTTTATTATTGAATTATACGCACCCATCACTGCTCCGACACTGAGTTCACTCCATCTCATTACAGTGGATTATTTTAATGAACACGGACAATACTACTAATTCACTTTTTAATGAGTTTAAAATTGCTTCTCGATTCAAATGACCCTAGCTGTGCTTGTGTTTTGCTCTACATGTCCGTGGTAGCGCTCTGGACATGGTCTCTCTCGGTCTCTCGCTAAAGAAGTTGCTCTCCTTTGCACTTGCATTTCAGGTCACCGTACACCAGTCTGTGCGTCTTTTCACTCAGTGGGTTTTGCCTCTTACTGTACAACACTCCCTTAAGTTAACAGCACTACAATTATCTTCGCATTCTCTAAATTTCTTATTAAAATAAATGCATAAACCTGACCACAAAGGGGGGGGGGGAGCCCAGAGAGCCACTTCAGACACCGTACTGAGGAGTTTTCATTCTGGAGGTCAATCTGAGAGATCCCTAACAGCAACTTACCTCCCCCATTTCTGCTGGGTTTTATGGAGCCTGTGAGACACCAGTTTGCTGCCAAAGGAAATCTGATGACAGATGCTGAACAACAATCTCATTAGGGAATCACTGAAGGAGAAAAAAAATGGGCTTTTCTGACTCTGAAAGGACACAAAGATTTGGTGCCCTTTCAGAGTCAGAAGTGCTAGATACATTGGCATTTATTAGTAAATAATATTTAGCACCTCATGTTAGCTTTGAGCGTTCCCTCCAACCGTTTGCTGAGAAACTAAACCAGGAATACTACACAATTTTGCAATGCATTTGTGCTCTCGGTTTTCTTGACTGCTAGGGCAATGGGTGACCAGAGATACAGACTGACAGGAGGGATCAGAATGGTTCTATCTGCATGTGACACACAAGCTTGCAATTGTAGAGATCCATTTCCTGGTTCGGGGGGAAAGGGAGCAGCTGAAACCTGAGGATATTTCTGTTTCAGTGAATGAGGATTTTCTTCACCATGGAGACACGCACCATCCTTGCTGCCAGCCAGCCTTTCAGAAGCTCTCCAGTGACATGTCTATTAAACCTCCACTATTCAGTCCTTGCGAGGAGGGGGCATAGCAGAGCCTTTTTCATCAAGAGTATAATTTACCTGGGCTGGACTGTAACCATTATCCATAACAGCCACAAAAGAAGAATACAAAAATCCAATAGCAATTCACTCATCCATAGAGTAAAAGATGGCTCAGTACAAGTAATATTGGCTCAGCTTATCTATGGAACACCACACCTCAATGCTAAGCAACGTCAGCTGATTTTCTGAATCCATTAGTTATGGCAAAAGAAATTTCCTACCAAATGTTTCAGACATTGGGTCATCATTAAACATGTGCAACAGAGCCAATGCTACTGGGGGAATTGCCGCAAAAAGTTCAATTAATGCTCCCCCCACTAGCCAGGGCACAGCTTTGATGGGGCGGGAACATTGGAGACTCTTTCTGGGGCAGAAAAAGATCTGAATTGGAATAGCTGAGGCAGTATGCCACATGCCCATTCCTTTTCTCCCCTCTCCTCCCTGCCTTCACTGGGTGGGGATGGTTATTTCTCTCTTCCCACCCCATGGTGCAAGGCTTAGGGGACAAAAGCAGGGGACCACATGCTGCATCTGGCCCTGTTGTGTCCACTGCTGTTGCCAATGGACAGTTGGGGTGGTGCTGTGACCAGGTGATTGGCTTCTGTCTGTTCCTTGCTTGGGCAGGGGGGGGAGGGGAATTTATACACTTTGTGGACTCCTTTCAGCCACATCCTTCCCACCCTTAATCTAGTTGCTGGATCTCGGGGGTGCCAGGAGCTTGGTTTATCGCCAGTTTGGGGTTCTGAAAGGGATTTTGCCCATATGACAAAATTGGCACATTGCTGTGTGGGCTTTTTCACCTTCCACCTAGCATCCAGGAGGGCTGGTTGGGGAATTTAGGTTACAACTGCTGCAAGGCAGGTTCCTGTGAGGTTGGTGGGTAGAGGGTCCAATTGATGTCCTCATAGCCTGAGGCCTGCATCAATACACACAATTCCCTCTTCACTCCAGTCTCAGCTCTGCAGAAAGCTGTATCCATCACTCGTGCTTTTCCTGCATGCTCTGATCTCCACTGACCGCCCCGCCCCCATCCACATCCCCGCCCCCTGAGCACCACCCCAAGCTCCCCTGCCCTCTATCCAACACCCTTCCCCTTCTCTCCCCCCCCCCGCTCCCTGCCCCCCTTACCGCGCTGCCTGGAACACCATGGCTGGTGGCACTACAACTGCTCCACCCAGAGCTCCAGGACAGGCAGCCATGCCGCCTGGCTGGAGCCAGCCCCGCTACCGTGCAGCACATAGCACCGGGTCAAGCCGTGGCTCTGCAGCCCCGCTGCCCACAGCATTGCGCCGGCGGCGCAGTGAGCTGAGGCTGCAGGGGTGAGGGAACAACAGGGGAGGGGCCAGGGGCTAGCCTCCCGGGCCAGGAGCACAGGGGCCGGGCAAGAGGGTCCCGCGGGCTGGATGTGGCCCATGGGCCATAGTTTGCCCACCTCTGTCCTAAATGAACATAGTTAACTGCATGAAAAGACAACCTCCTAATGGGAAAGACTGCCTTTGACTGCCTTCACTGGCATCCTAGTGCTTCCTCTCTCATTTCCCCCACAGACTGACACCACTGGTGAGCTCAGTTTTTATGTGGGTGAACTGTACTATTTTTCTGTAAACACTAGTTTGTATGATCTTTGGGGCAGGGCATGGTCTAACTAGGTAACTAGTTTTGTAAAGTTTCAGAGTAGCAGTCGTGTTAGTTTGTATCCACAAAAAGAACAGGAGTACTTGGGGCACCTTAGAGACTAACAAATTTATTTGAGCATAAGCTTTCGCGGGCTACAGCCCACTTCATCAGATGCATGCAGTGGAAAATACAGTAGGAAG